TCTAGACACATCTGTGGCCGAATGCAGCTCTTCATTGGTGTATCTAATGTCAGTGATTTGTCTGATCTGTGTGTTTTTATTCTTCTTTCTGGTCCCAGCATGCAACACAATGGCTTCCTGTGAGCCGTGCCTCGCCAATGTCTCGGTGAGCTCACACACAGATGCTCATCTAGTTATCACCACCGTCTGAACTCTTTGCAGATGAGTATTGTAATATTTAGGGAAGTTGTTAATGTGAGACTGTCAGAAATCTGCTCGGATGCTCCAGTTTGATTCATTATATCTTCATTATCATTGCACATATTTTGAACTGATTTGCGCCATTTGGTCAAATAAGATGAGTGGTTTAGTGGCACAGAGCAACGATAACGCAGCACAACATCCCAGAATGCATTGAGGATAATGCTTGTGCTGCTGATGTCCTGCTAAACGATCTCACTTCCCGGAGAATGCCAATAAAGACAATAACATAAAAAATTAATGAATTAATGTTTTTATGAATGAGTGTAGCATCCTGGAGGATGTCATTAATAATAATAATAATAATAATAAATATTTTTCTAACATCCTGGAGGATATCATTAACATTAATAATAATAATAATAATAATAATAAATGTTTTTGTAGCATCTTAAAGGATGTAATTAATAATAATAATAATAATAATAATAATAAATGTTTTTGTAGCATCTTAAAGAATGTAATTAATAATACATGTTTTGTAACATCCTAGAGGATGTATTAAATAATAATAATAATAATAATAAATATTTGTATAACATAATGGAGGATGTCATCAACATGAATAATAATACGTATTTTGTATTATGTAATTATTAATAATAATATTTTTTTAACATCTTAGAGGATGTAATTAATAATAATAATAATAATAAATATTTTTCTAACATCCTGAAGGATGTCGTTAACATTATTATTATTATTATTATTAAATAGATTTTTTTACATCCCGGAGAATTTAAATAATAATAATAATAATAAATATTTTTCTAACATCTTGGAGGATGTCATTAATAATACAAATAATTATAGTAATAATAAATTGGTTTGTAACATCCTGGAGGATGTGATTAACATTATTATTAATAATATTAATGATATATGTGTTTGTAGCATCCTGGAGGATGTCATTAATAATAATAATAATAATAATAAATGTTTTTGTAGCATCCTGGAGGATGTCATTAACATTATTATTAATAATAATAATAATATATGTGTTTGTAGCATCCTGGAGGATGTGATTAACATTAATATTAATAATAATGAAGGTGTTTTCTCCTAACAGTGTTTGTGGTGCCAGACGAACAGCAGCTGCTCAGATTATCCGGTGTCGTATGTGATTCCTCCGGCCTCGGTGTGTCCGCTCTCTCAGGCGCGCTGGGGTGTTTGCTGGGGTGAGCTCTCCTTCATGCTTTAAGCAGCTTGAGACGCACAGAACTGGTTAAACACACTAATGTACAGCAGCTGTTGAGCACTTTCACATTCAGGGCTGGAAGTCCCCCGTTCAGCTTCCCTTCACGTACTATGCAGATTTATAGAATACTTCATTCTGATTGGCTGTTCGTGGCATTTATTGGTTAAATATCAATAAATAATGCTCAGCCGTGAAACCTAGTGTTATTTATATACTCTCATAGTTTTTCATTCATATTTTGAATTATCTTCTGTTTCATTTTTTCAGTTTTTATTCTAATTTCAGTTAAATTTCCAGAAATTTTATTTTATGTTTTTTATTAGTTTTTAAAAAATATTTTAAAAAAATTTCAGTTTTATTTTTATTTATTTAACTCATTTTAGTG